GCGCACACCTCCAGGGGGCGCCTTTCGCAAGGCGGCCTAACGAAGTGTGTCTGAGCAGCGTCTGTGTCCCCCAGCTCTCAGCCCTGTCCTCAACCCATGGTCTGCCATCCACGATGTCCATCTGACTCACTGGCCCGTGAGACGGGTCCCAAGGACATTATTTCTTTGCCTGCAAAGATGGCTCAGCAGAGGCTCCAATTTGGAAGCAGAGATGCCCCGACGACCTTTTATTTTTTTCCCCTCCCCCCGTCATCCAAGAAATGAGGCCATCATGACCTTTGTTTATTTATGTATGCATGCACCCCTTGTTTTGTTTTTTCCAATCGGTGATGCGCCATCAGGAAGTCGCCTGCGCGGCTGGCCCTGAGGAGGCTCACGGAGATGCGCCCCGCTCCACCAATGGGGACGACGGGATTCCGGCAGGGGGCTGTGCTTTCGGCTTGGACCTGCCCCCACCCACCCACCCAGCACACAAAAGCAGCAGAATTAACTGCCTCCTGGAAGCACAGCCTCCCTCCGCCAGCTGTGAGCTGGGTGGGAGAAAATTCCCGGCGGAGGAGGCGAAGACAGGAGGCGCAGCCCGCACCGAGCGAGGCAGACCCGCACACTAACCCACCTCAGGACCTACGAGCCCGAGGCGCTGGCCAGGTTGCCCCAGGTGACCTTCCTTCGGCGCAGCCTCCGCCCCTGCATCCTCCGCGGATGCGCTGAAGGCCTGGGGACCGCACTCCGAGGGCTGGGGATGCGCGTCCGGGCTGGGCGCGCCTTTGTCTGCCTGTGACGCCGCCGGTGACGCCGGGAGGCCGCCGCCGCGGAGGTGAGTGCACCTTCCTTCCTGCCTCCCTCCCCGCGGTGGAAGGCTTGTCCGGAGGCTTTCGCTGAGGCTGCTGCTGCGGTCACTTTCCGGCAGATGGGCCGGGTGAGGGCAGAGAATCGCGTCTCCGGCCTCCTTGGATGCTCGTACATCAATTTTGCCCAGGGAAACCATCCCTCTCCGCGCGCACACCCCCGCTGTCTACCTGGGACGTGGACAGCTGCACCATTTTTGGAACGCGCTTAGAGATGAAGCGCGTTCAAAACCCCAGTTCCCCTCCAGGACGTTTCCGGGAGCCCGAAATGGCCAGGTTCCACCCCTGCATTTCCTATTTATAACACCAAGAGGGACTGGGACAGCCACGTTGAGCCGTGTGCAGCTAGATTTTCAAAGTGTATATCTAAAGGTTCGCCCGTGGGGTGGGGAGGAAGGGAGATGGTGAAAGAAACTAAAGCCATTGGCCGTGGAGTCGATTCTGACTCATGACGACCCCATATGTGTCAGAGTAGAACTGTGCCCCATAGGGTTTTCTTCACTGTCGTCTTTATGGGAGCAGATCACCAGGCCTTTCTTCTGCTGTGCTGCTGGGTGGATTCGAACCACCAACCTTTTGGTTCGCATCTGAACTTGTGCGTCACAGCTCACGTCTGAGGTGTTGGGCACATCCCCTCCTAGCTGCCCTCAAAGGAGAAGCCGGAAGCTTAACTGGGGAGTGTATGGGGTCCCTCGGGGGGCCCACCCACACCCCATATTTAGAAGGTGTGTGGGGTCTGCGCAGGAAGCTCCAGTGTCTCTTCCAGCACCTTGTCTCCCTGGGAGGCTGAGGTCACACCTCATTCAGGATGAGGACGCAGGGTCTGCAGAGGAAAACAGCCGCCAAAGCCACTCCCTTCGGATGGGAACTGAATTTCCAGGGATGTGACCGTCCCCTTGGAAAGGGGGTGCGGGTGCCGGAAGCTTTTGGGTGGTTGCTATTGCCCGTGGTAGACCGGGAGGGGAGACTTGAGGGGCTGCGTCTCACCTTCCCTCCTGGGTCAATGAGTGCTGCTGTTCTGGGCCGGAGGAGAGTGGACGGAGAAATCCTCACCTGAAGGGGGATGGGCTGGTCTGAGCAGTCCCCACCCTTCCTGCCCGCACCTACCTGTCTCAGCCTCCCCAGGGTCCCAGCCTCCCTTACTGAGCCGCGTCCCAGGGCAAACCCACCACTGACGTGGCTGCAGTCGCGTGCCGAGCTTTAACCACACGCCCGAACCATTAACCTGGCAGCAGCTGCACAGAGAGGCGATTGTGGTGTCAGGAGCAGAGCCCAGCCGGGAGTCAGGGGACCTGAGGGGCGCGGAAGGGGGACAACCACACAGAAGCTGTAGGATGAGATGACGTCATGTGATGATAGAGGAGCTGAGGAGTGACTGCCGAGCCTGTGTCCTCTCGCAACCTGCCAATGCCCACAGGAGCTTCTGCTTCATTTACAGCAAGGTCTCTCCCCCTCAGCACTGCTGACAAGGGTGCCAGACTGTTCTCTGGGGAGGGGCCGTCCTGTGCACTGTAGGGTGTTGAGCAGCATCCCTGGCCTCCACCCACTCGATGCCCGTAGCACCTCCTCCCAGTCGTGACACCCACAAATGTCCCCAGACATCACGCAGTGTTCCCTGAGGGCAGAATCACCCCGGTGAGGACCTCTGGGTTAGGGGATTCCACTCATCCCCATGAGATTCTGCGTCCGATAATCATCTGACCTGCTGACGTCCTAGGATGCTGCCCACATTTAAATCCACACACTGAGTGGTTAAGGAGAGAGGAGAGGAATCCCAGGGGCCGGAAGGTCCCCCTGGTTTACACTGGCTGACCCAGCGGGAGTTTATTCGGGTGGGTGGTGTGAGCAGAGGTCACACCATACACTATTTTTTCAAATAATTAACATAGAATTTCTTCCCATCAACACAGTTGACATTTGGGGCTGCATCATTCTCTGGGGAAGGGCTGTCCTGTGCACTGTAGGGTGTTGAGCAGCATCCCAGCCTCCACCCACTCGATAGATACCAGTAGTTCCTCCCCTCCCCCCCGCAAGTTGTGACAAGCGCAAATGTCTCTGGACATTGCCCAGCGTCTCCTGGGGGGTCAGAATCACCCCTAGTTGAGAACCACTGGGTTAAAAAGACAGAATGGGTGATGTTGGTTGAGTCACAGCTTCCTGGAATGTCATGGCGGAAGGGGGCGGTAGAGGTCATTTCTGGTCCAACTGTTTCATTTACAGACAGGGAAACAGGCCTGTAGGGGTGAATGGCCTGGGAGACAGCTGTGCCCCAGGTAGACCCGCATTTAGACCTGCAGCCAGCCAGCCCTTAAGCAGTCCCTGCCCCCAGCCAGCTCCTCTGAACGCCATAAACAAAGTCAGAATCTTGTCGTTGATAATCACAATGAAGAGGTCTCTGCGTAGCCCCGTTTGCTCTTAGCTACTAACCTAAGGGTTAGCGGTTCAAACCCACCCAACCATTCTACGGAAGAAAGGGCTGGCGATCTGCTTCCGCAGAGATTGTAGCCAAGAAAAGCCTATAGATCACAGTTCTACTCTGACACACTTGGGGTCACTGTGAGTCAGAATTGACTCAACAGCAACGGGATAATAAATACGCTCCTGGCTTCCCATCCCACTACTCCACACTGCCTTCATCAGCTTTGGGGTCAGTAGGTTTCCAGAACTTGCTTCTTCCTGGGGGCAGATGGGCAGGGTGGGTGGCCTGGAGCAGATAGAAGTGAGTTGGGGTTGACCAGGTCCTCTGTGAAAGTGCCAGGAGAGAACCTGATGTGTATAAATCATTAAACCAGCTGCCTCCGAGACAACTCCAACTCACAGCAACCCCACGTGTGCAGAGTAGAACTGTGCTCCATAGGCTTTTCAACGTTCTCCTTTTGGAAGCAGATCTCCAGGCCTTTCTTCCGAGGTGCCTCTGGGTAGGTTTGAACTACCAACCTTTAGGCTAGTAGTCGATCCCTTAACCATTTTCACCACCAAGGGACTCCCTATATCCATCCTTAGCACTGCCGTATGAATGACTTCATTGGATTTACTGCTTCCTGGTTGAAGTTCAAGGCTGAGGGGGAAGGGTTAGTCCAGATCCTGATAGTCCCTGGGGGAGGGAGGGTGGACTTCAGAGCTGCCAAAGAGAGAATCATACCTGGGTTCAAACTCTAGACTCACCTGGGAATGGCTGGGTGTCCTCAGCCTTCTGAGTCTCGATTTTCTCATCTGTGAAATGGGCACACCTCAAAAGGCTAGACAATGAGTCGATAAGACAGTGAGCATGAGGCTTCTTTGTAGAGCGATCTCTTCCTTTTTATTTAAGTATGTGCTCTTACATTACATGTTTGTTTTTTTAAATAATTGGTTTTATTTTCATTGTTGTTGTTGAGAATATACTCCGCAGAACATGCACCAACTCGACCATTTCTCCACGTACAGTTCAGTGACACTGGTTACATTCCTCAAGTTGTACAACCATTCTCACCCTCCTTTTCTGAGCTGTTCCTCCCCCATTAACATAAACTCACTGCCCCCTAAGCTTCCTATCTAACCTTTCAAGGTGCTGTTGTCAATTTGATCCCATATAGATAGTTCTTAAAAGAGCACAGTATTCAAGGCAGACATTCTTTACTAGTTCAGCTAAACTATTGTTTGGTTTAAGGAGCCCTAGTGGTGCAATGGTTAAGCTCTTGGCTGCTAACTGAACGGTTGGTAGTTCGAATCCACCAGCCACTCCACCTGAGAAATATGGAGCAGTCTATTTCCGTAAAGACTTACAGCCTTGAAAACCCTATGGAGCAGTTCTATTCTGTCGTCTGGGGTCACTATAAGTCAGAATCAACTCAGTGGCAGTGGGTATTTTTGGGTTGAAGGGGTATTTTTGGTTTAAGGAGTATTTAAAGATTATCTCAGGGCAATAGTTTCAGGGATTCATCTAGCCTCCGTGGCTCCAGGAAGTCTTTATTTGATGACAATTTTAAATTCTGTTCCACATTTTTCATCCTTTTGATCAGGACTCGAATCTTTGTGTAGATCAATCTCTCAAGAGCTGCACAGGGGTGGGGAATTGTTGTGACAATTATTGTACAGTAAAGCCCACCCCTCTGCCTGTGGCTTCCCTTTAGGACTCATCTCTGCTCCCACCGTTGCCTCTTCCTGGCTGCCATGGGGACCACAGAAGCCACGCTCCGGATGGAAAACGTGGATGTGAAGGAAGAATGGCAAGATGAGGACTTCCCCAGGTACAGCATCACAGGGTTTCAAGCCACTGCAGGGAGAGTGGGTCTGGTGCCTTCTCCGAGGTGGGGGCCAGGGCAGGGGCAGCCGGGTTCCCATCTGCTCACTGCTCACCGTCTTATCCCCCACAATCCATGAGGGCTCTGTCGATGTGTCCCCATTGCAGCCTCACTGAGGATTAGCATGGGCCAGGCACAAAACAGAAGCTCCGTGAATATTTGCTCCATTCTTTAAGATGTGTTTCCACCCCTAAAGCTACCAAAAGTCTCCACTCACACACTATTTTAAGAATTCTAAACATTTAACAGTTCTAAACGTTTTCTGGGGGCCGTGGTGGTTCAAGGGCAGAATTCTCACCTTCCATACAGGAGACCCGGGCTCAATTCCCAGCCGTTGCACCTCATAGACGGCTACCACCCATCTGTTATCGGCATGTTGCTAGATTGCTGAACAGCTTTCAGCAGAGCTTCCAGACTAAGAGAGACTAGGAAGAAAGGCCTGGGGATCGACTTCCGAAAATCAGCCAATGAAAACTACGGATCACAGGGGTTCTATCAGCAACCGATCATGGGGATGTTGCAGGAGTGGACAGCATTTCGTTCCTTCACAACAGGCCTAATTTCCAGACATGGACTTGTTGTTAGCTGCAGTCCGAGTCGGCCCCCACCTCATGGCGACCCCAGGCACAATAGAATGAACCACTGCCTGGTCCTGCGCCATCCCCTTGGTGGGTTGTGGATTGGACCACTGTGATCCACAGGGTTTTCACTGGCTGATTTTTGGAAGTCAATTGCCAGGCCTTTCTTCCTAGTCCGTCTTAGTCTGGAAGCTCCGCTGAAACCTGCTCAGCGTCCTAGCAACACGCAAGCCTCCACGGACAGACGGGTGGTGGCTGTGCATGAGGTACATTAGCCGGGAATCGAACCCGGGTCTCCCACATGGGAGGCGAGAAGTCTCCCGCTGAACCTCCACTGCCCGAGCCCAGTATAGGAAGGTGCTTTCCAGAGCTCAGTCCCATCCAGAAGGAAACAGCTGTTGTGGGAAGTTGTGAGCTTCCTGTTGGTTTCTGTCCAATCAGCAGGAAGACTGTTGAGGAAAGGACTCCCACATTTGAGGACTTTACCCCTCTTCCAAGTCTAGATGTTTGCAGTCCTTTAAATTTCATGCAGAAAGCCCTAGGTGGTGCAATGGTTAAGCACTCAGCTGCTAACTGCAAGGTTGGTGGCTCGAACCTACCCAGCACCTCCGCAGGAGAGAGACCTGGTGATCTGCTGCCGTAAAGATTATGGCCTAGGAAAGCGTATGGCGTGGTTCTACTCTGTCACATGGGGTCGCCATGAGTCGGAATAGACTCAACAGCACCCAGTGACAAGTTTTGTGCACATACCTGCATTTCCTTGTAGTGAGAAGTGGGCAAGAATCTCCTGTTCTGCCCAGTACCTGGCGTGGTTATGGTGGATTTTCTGCAGGAGTTTGCATTCATCATCTCCAAATATTTTGGCAGAAAGGTGGCAGCTTAGTCTCCTAGAACTGCCGTCACAAACACCACAACGTGGATGGCTTTGAAGAACCGAAATTTCTCTCTTTATGTCTGAGTAATATTCCTCTGTGTGTGTCTTAGTCATCCGATGCTGTTATAACAGAAATACCACAAGTGGATTGTCTTTAGCCAGGGACTCACAGTCAGTAAGGGTGGCACAAATGGTTCACACTTGATTACTAATGGAAAGGTTGGCAGTTCACGCCCACCCAGCAAGGTGGCACAGAAGAAAGGCCTGGCAATCTGCTTCCATAAAGATTATTGGTGGTGGTAGTGGTGCCGTCAGGTCGATTTTCGACTTATAGCGACCCCATGTGGCAGAGTAGAACTGCCCCATAGGGTTTTCTAGGCTGTAATCTTTACAGGAGTAGATCGCCAGGCCTTTCTCCCACGGAGCTGCTGAGTGGGTTCGAACTGCCGATCTCTCGGTTTTCAGCCAAGTGCTTCACCGTTGGGCCACCAGGGCTCTTTTGCATAAAAATCACAGCCTTGAAAACCCTATGGAGCTCAGTTCTACTCTGTAGCACGCGGGGTTGCTGTCAGTCAGAATGGACTTCACGGCAGCGGGTTTGGGTGTGTGTGTTTCATGGTGCGGTTAATCAGAGACGGCCTGCGCCGGGGAATAACTTGTTCCCGGTGAGCCCTGGAGAAAGGCACCTTTCCCCCAACGTGAAAAGTGGAATCAGATCAGGTGACCTCTGTGGTTCCTGCCAGCACTAACCATCCAGCGGCCTGAGGGGTCTTCTGATCAGCGCTCAGCTTTTCTGAACTGTGCTCTGGATCCCTCTGCCCTGCCCAGACCGAAGCACCGACTCCTCGGCCCTGGGCTTGGAGTTCGAGAACCTTCTGATTCAGCCCTGCGTATCCTGGCTTATAGCCATCTTAGATGCGTGAAGGTGCTGTTGTGACTCGGCAGAGGGCTCGTTCTGCTCGCTGACTGTGTTTTGAGCAGCACAGCTTAACAAAGAGGCCTGAGCAAGCCTGGACACCAACGTCCGCTGCAGTGCCTTTCACAAGAGCCGTAACTACCCAAATGTCCATCAGAGGATGGATGGACAAACAAGGTAGGGCATCCGCACAGTGGAATGCTACTCAGCCATGAGGAGAAATGATGTCCCTCCACCAGACTGAGTCCAGCACATCTAGATGGTGCCTGGCTACCACCACTGACTGCCCTGGCAGAGATCACAGTAGAGGGTCCCAGACAGAGCTGGGGAAAAATGCAGAACAAAATTCTAACTCACAAAAAAATACCAGACTTACTGGTTTGACATAGACTAGAGAAATCCCGAGAGTAGGGCCTTATAGCACAGTACTGAGGTCACTTCTGAGGTTCGCCCTTCAGCCAAAGATTAGACAGGCCCATAAAACAAAACGACACTAAATGGGCACCCCAGCCCAGGGGCAAGGATGAGAAGGTAGGAGGGGACAGGAAAGCTGGTAATGGGGAACCCAAGGTCAAGAAGGGGAAAGTGTTGACATGTTGAGGGGTTGGCAACCAATCTCACAAAACAATATGTGTATTAATTGTTTGATGAGAAACTAGTTTGCTCTGTAAACCTTCATCTAAAGTTGTTCTTCTTAGGTGCCGTTGAGTCGGTTCTGACTCACAGTGACCCTGTGTACAACAGAACGAAACACGGCCCGGTCCTGCGCCATCCTCACAATTGTTGTTATGCTTGAGCCCATTGTTGCAGCCACTGTGTCAATCCACCTTGTGGAGGGTCTTCCTCTTTCTCTCCGACCCTCTACTTTACAAAGCATGCTGTCCTTCTCCAGGGACTAGTCCCTCCTAACAACATGTCCAAAGTATATGAGATGTAGTCCCACCATCCTTGCTTCTAAGGAGCATTCTGGTTGTACTTCTTCCAAGACAGATTTGTTCGTTATTTTGGCAGTCCATGGTACATTCAATATTCTTCACCAACACCACAATTCAAAGGCGTCAATTCTTCTTCGGTCTTCCTTATTCATTGTCCAGCTT